TTGAGGTTTATGATTCTGTGTGATTACAGTTTATTACGTTTTACAAATTAGTGGGCAAAGTGTTGGTCATTTTACTTGACTAGAGGTGAAAAAAGAGGTTCTTGGTGGTGGTTTGGTTTGGGGGGGTTTTTTTGATCATGTTCCATGTGCGTCCCTGCCACTGGATATGTGGATATGACTCTGAAGTAGGTAACTGAGAGTTGGTAATTGCTTCACTCTTGTACCTGATGGACAGCTGGAAAGAAAGCTCTCAGATGAACCTTTCAAGTCCCAGCTGGGATGATGTTTCACTGCACTCCTGCTGCCAGCTCTGGAGGGCAGTTCTGCTGCTGCATCGTGGTGCCGGTCTGTCCCCATGCCACCCCCTCCACCAGCGCTGGTAGGATTTTGGGTCAGGGAGTTTAAGTGGATTAAAAATAGCCCTGCAAAGGAAGGAAAACCCAAAACCATGACAAACAAAACCAACAAAAAGCAAACAAACGAAATCTCAGATCAGTTTGTTCATTTGTTCTGCGTTGTGACCTGTCCCCTCCCCACGAGTGACTGTGCCAGCCTGGCTGAGGGGGGTCTGGCCAGGGAGGAACGAAGCCTCTTTCAGGGAGAATGCCTGCAGGAGAAGCCATCAGTGGAACTCTAGCATGACCCTGTGGCCTCAGGAGCCTGGGTGAGCTGGTCTGTGGGTGCTCTGCTGCTGGCAGGCGAGTGTTTCTGCTGACTGGATTCATCCCCAGACCAGAGCGACGGGGGACTGGTGGCTGGGAGAAGTGCCTGAGGGATGCTTGCTTTGAGCAGTGGGTGTGTTTTCCTTGCTGCTTCTGAGGTTAAAAGCAAACACTGGAGGAAATAAAAAGAGCCTTTGTCACAGTAATAAAAAAAAAACCAAAACCAAACCCCAAGAGAAGGAAATAAAAAGAGCCTTTGTCACAATAATAAAAAAAAAAACCCAAGAGATTTAAACTCTCCCCAGTCCAGGTTCAGGAGGATCTAAGATTAGCCCTCAGATGTCCATTTTGAGGAAAGTTTGCAGAGCTGCCTAAGCACATTATTCTTTATCCTCCGTTAAGCTCTGGGAGCAGACAGGGTGCTAATACTTGCAGCTTGCCTTACAGGCATTGACAAGACTGCCAGTGAGTATCAAAGCTAAAAAGCCTGATGTGTTTACATACCCTGCTTGCCTGCCAGAACTTGGCAGCTGTGACCTTTCTGTGTAGGGTAGAAGACCATTGGTGTCTGCACAGGAAGGGAAGAACTTCTTTCCAAAGGGCTGCTGCAGGTATTGCAGTAGGCTGCAGTCCTTTCCAAAGCCATGTGGGTTTCCCAGATCAAAAGGTCTCAAGGCACAGTCTCAATTTGGGATGCTGTTTCTGCAGAACCGTTTTAAGCTTTTATCTTCTGTGGCATATGTTTCTCCTGCAGGGCAGATGATGAGATATTTGCTCTCTCTCTCTTCATACATTGACTTTTTCTCTTCTTGCACAGCTTCATTTTTATCTGGGCTTCAGGGAGGTAGTGACCAGATCTGCCTGACCTCTTTGTTGCAGGGGACCAGGTCATGTGATGCGACCATTCTTAATCACCCTTCAATCAAGAAGTTCTTGGAATCCCCCTCTCGGTCCTCGTCCCCAGCTCACCAGGGCTCAGACACTCCCTCTGCCAACCACTCGGAGAGCGACTCGCTCTCCCAGCACAACGACTTCCTCTCTGACAAGGACAACGGCCCCTCGGAGGGGGAGGAGCGGCTGGCAGAGCGCCTGGCACACAGCCTGGACCAGAGGCAGGGCAGAACCGCCCGGGTAAAGCAGAACTGGGGCCTGGGCAGGGTGCTGGGGGGTGTGCTCTGGCTGGGCTCGGTGCTGGCACCAGGAGCTCTTCATGTTCTCACCCCCCTTGCTGAAGATCTGCTTCTTACCTCTCCAGCTGCTTGCTCCCACTCTCCCAGCCTGGCTGTGCTGTGAGGCTAACTGCAGTGTGTGTAACCTGGGTAGCTCTGAGCTCAGTCCTGCCCAGCAGAGAGGTCAGCCAGGCAGCACTCCTGGAGCACAGTGAGCTGCTGCTGTCCTGCCTGGTAGCCTCAGGGGAAGGAGCTGGTTCACAGCTTGGGCAAAGGGTTTTGCTCTGCAGATGGAAGTGAGGTCAGGAGAGCGTAGAGCCTGGAGAGAAGAGCAGCCTGTGCCATTCCCAGTGGTGTTTTTAAGAAGTAATGCTGCTGCCTGGCCCTGGGTGCTCGTGGGGACTGTGTTCCTTAGAGTGGTGGAACCACTGGAGTGTGAGGTTTGGCCAGCCCAGCATCCTGTGGTGAAGGCACAGTGACACCAGTGGGTCAGCTCACCCTGGGAGCAGAGCTGGCAGAGCCTGGGTGCGTGGTTTGGGTGGCTTTCCTCTTGGTGTGCTGGTCACTGTTTCTGCACTGGAGTCATTGTTGGAGCAGTTGTACTGCTTGGGTGTAGCATGTTGGTACGTTTTCAACCAACACAGCCTGTGGCTGGAGGAGTGATGAGGAGCAGGAGCCATTCCAGCCTCCTGTGGCTCCCTGCTTCACGTGGGGACATCCAGTCTTGGCCACCGCTCAGTAGCTGAGGTTGTGTTACAGGGTTGCTTAGGCAGGACTTATGGCAGAGCACCACCATGGGTTTGTGAACTTCTCTAGGTGTCAGTGACGTGTGGCTGGCTGCTCTGCCTGCTGAGGTGGGGCTGAATTCCTGTCTCTGAGCCCAGCCTCAGCCCTGCCCTGTAACGCAGCGCTGGAGTCCCTCAGAGCAGCAGGCTGGGAATGAGAAAGATTTAGATTTTCAGAAGCCACTTGTGGGAGATTTAGCTGTGTTTCTGATGAGGGAGCAACATGAGGCCACTCTACCAGTGCTTGATTTTTTTTTCTGTGTAGTGCAGCAGCAGCACTTTTTGAAACCCAAGCTATAAATTGTGGCTCAGCTCCATGGTATGCCCCATAATGTGTGCTCAGTGAAGCCACCCAGTGCCCACTTGGCTGGGCAGTGTATCATTGCTGTGTGCCCACGTTGCTTCACCGTGCCCAGACAGCCATTTAAGTATTTTTAGGGATGATTCATTGTTGGTCTCTCATTTAACTATGCAGGTTTCCTTTTTTTAACATCTTACTTTTCTAGCACCAGACAAAATGATGTTTAAGAGGAATGTTTGGTTTTTCTGCTTGCTTTTTCTCTTCTTCCCACACCCTCAGGACAGCTTGGGTGTTCCAAGCTCTCAGAAAACAGGACAACGAAATGCTGGACTGGCAAGTGATGAAACTTCACGACTTTATGTGAAGAAAACGATTGTGGTTGGCAACGTCTCCAAGTTAGTATCCAGCAACTGAGGGGGGGCCCTTTATTCCAGGATTAAATGGAGTAAAAGGTTAAAATTTGGAGACAAAAAGGATTGTTAGGCTGTCACAGTGTGAGGTATTGCCCTCGAATGATTGCTGTACCCAGGGCTGCCCTCCTGAGTGTCACCATGAGGTTTCTTTTGTGGGAGGAACAGGTATTTTAGTAGTTGTTCTGTTTGTGGGTGTATATACACACACACACATATGGAGGTTTGAAGATCTGTTTCTCTGAAAGGGAGTCTTTCAGTCTTTCCTGACCAGTTAGAAATATCAAGCTTTTGTTTTTGGGTTTTTTTCTAAAATTTTTTAAGACAGGGAAATATACATAACTTTTGAACTTTGAGGAAATTAGTGAAGAAAGGAATTAATTTGTAGGAAACTATGGAGAAGTCCAGGTTTTAACTCTGCACCTTCACACTACTCCAGTCAGTCTTTTCCCCTTGCATAGAAAATAGCAAACATTTCTTAATTAAACTTTAGGTGTTAGAGCTGTGTCTTGAAAATCTACCTATGCCTGGGCCTGGAACCACGTGTTGACTATGGAGTTACTGAAAAATTTATCAGAAGAATTGTTATTTTGTGTGTTTATGGTAGCAGGATTGCTGGTGTTGTGTGGTTTCACTTCCTCATATCTCAGAATAAGATGGCAGAAGGGATTTGATTGGAGTATAGTATTAAAATTAAGTCATCCTAATTAAAAGCCAAATGTTTAAATGGACAAACTGCCTTTGGCAGTCGTGCACTAAAATGGAGAAAATCTGTTAGAAGCATGGAGTAGATGATGGGCCCTGTGCCTGCTTCTGGATGAACTGTCAGAGCAAGGAACAGTGAGCAGAACTGTACAGGGGGCAAGGTTCAGCATTTCACCATCCCAAATTTTTGTGGCTAATCCTTCCCGAGATACTTTTTGTGGTATTTACCTATTTAGGATTTTCATCTCGTGTTCATTTTTTTCATGTCTTTGCCAGGTACATTCCCCCTGACAAGAGAGAAGAGAACGATCAGTCCACCCATAAATGGATGGTGTATGTCCGAGGCTCTCGCAGAGAACCCAGCATAAACCATTTTGTCAAGAAAGTTTGGTTCTTCCTCCATCCCAGTTACAAACCTAATGACCTGGTAGAAGTGAGGTAATAAGGAATTATTCCATCCTCTGCTCCAGTCTTTATGCTTGCCAGACTTAAGAGGGCCAAGTTTCTTAGAAAGTTAACAACTTCTCTTCCTGGTTTAGTGTTCTGTGTCTGTCTTTAGCCTCTGGCTTGGCTTGGCTTGACTTAGTCCAAATTAATAGTAAAAATAAGTTAGATTTTATGTAGCAAATAAGCCAAACGTTTTTGTTGTTTTGTTTTATTTTTTTAATTTCCTACTGAGAAAAATCAGTCAGTTGTTGCATTTCATGTTCTTCATGCAAGTTTGTGCATCTCCTGTATGTGTTCCACTCTCTGCTGCACAGGTTAGATATCTGTTGCTAAAAGATCTCTTTTTTCTATCTCCCATCCCTTCCAGTATGGCAAAGAGGAATCTCAGAAGGCTGTTTTACCCATAGTTTTGATGGTACATGTGCATTTGAGCAAGAAATTGTATCACTCTCCCAAATATTTCTCCACGGTAGTGAGGTCAGTGGCACTGGCTTCATGCTTTGAGGCATTGCCCATCCGTGGAGTGGTGCCAGTTCTGCAGAAACAGGACAGCTTCTCTGTCCTCTGCCACCTGCAGTCAAAGCTGTGACCCCAGTGAGATGAGCAGGGTCAGTTCTGTGTTGCCTGCTGCAGAGAAACATTCTGTCCATCTTTCATTCTTGCTCCTGTGGACAGGACAGCAGGAAGATGCCTTCAGACTTCCCAAAGAAATGCTTCTCCACCAGCCATGCAGCAGTGTCCTGAGGAGGGTGGGATGCTGCCTAGCTGTAGAATGGCAACTTAAGTGTGGCAAAATTAAAAAGGCAACTACTCAAACTAAATACTACTACAAAACAAAAAAGCTACTACTGAAAGGCAACTCCAGAAAGAGTGACCTGAGATGAGAAGTGCTGGTGTGGCTCAGTGATGTTTCTGAGCAGGCAGCCCCAAGGAGGATGAGAGCAGACTCCTGTGTATTTCCTGTGTCACGTACCAAGTTACACTTCACTGCTTTTGTGCCTTTCTCAGTTTCCAGTGTTGGATGTTAGTGCTGTTTGTCTGCTGCTTTAATCCCATCTGGTTAATTGATTTCTTGTTGCACAGTCCCAGTCATCACAGTGAACGTCAATGTTCTGCACTCAAAAGAGTCTTTAAACCTCTTGTGTTTTTTGTTGTTGCTGTCACAAAACTACCTTTGGGGTTTCAGCAAAAAGCTGAAGTACAGACAAAGTAGGGGAGGATGTTAGAGGTAAACACTCTGTTCTTTCTCAGCTTAGAGAATGACAGCTGAGTTAGCTTTTCCTTTTTGTCTGTATTTTCTCCTGGGGTTACATGGAGCATGTGCTTCCTGGCTGTTAGGTAGGGAATAGCAGAAAGGGATTGCATAATGCTGCACTGAAAACTTACCCTGCAGCTGTGTCCTAGAACCTGACTGGGGATTTTTTGAAACAAGTATTTTTAATTTGGTGTTTCACAGCCTTTTGACTTTCTCCAAAAGAGGTAGGGGAAAACTGTACCACTTCTGCATCCAAAATGTGAATCACCTTTTGTTTCCAGAGAACCTCCGTTTCACCTGACCAGGAGAGGCTGGGGAGAGTTTCCTGTGAGAGTGCAGATCCACTTCAAGGATAGCCAAAACAAGAGGATCGACATCATACACAATTTGAAGGTATCTGAACAAAATACTTGAGGGAAAGGCAATTATTGGATGAGCTCTCCTGCATAATCTAGAAGAGGCTCTGTTTGTGTGTGTGCTTCTGACTCTGTTTTGTGCATGTCCTGCTGGTTACTTGCACCTGAATAGCTGAACTGGAAAACCAGAAAAGCTCCAGGAAAGCCTCTTACTTGTCTGTACTGGTCTTGATGTGGTAGCCAAAGAACCCAGCCTTGCAAAGTAACACGTAAATCACTTGTGAAGGGATTGCTGAACTGTGTGTTCTGCTCCTTCAGTACTTGGACAGACTGGAGAGGGATTATCTGTCGTTGGTGGACAGGGAGGGGCTGAGAGTCACCTTCACTCCTCCTTCCTTTTGAAGAGGGACACCTCTTTCAGCTCCTTCACCTGTCCCACGACACTCAGTGAGGTTTATAGTATGCACCAGTCTTGGAAAACCAGGCCATTGCTCTTGTCTTCCCTTTAATTAGCAGCCCCTAGCCTTAGTGGAATTAAGTCCTGAGCTGGTTTAGTTTCCTGTTTCTTTGAGCAGTGTGATTAGTTTTATTTAAACTCTGCCTGCATTAATGAATCTCATGCTAATGTAGATACCTCACTGCAACCCCAGATACAGGCAGTAGAGGAAGCTGGAAGCGTTCCCCTGGAACTTAGGGATATTTAATGCAGATGATTAGTAAAATACATTTGGAGAAACATAACTTGGGGAGAAATTGGCAGCAGCATGGTAGATGTTGTGCAGGGAAAGAAGCCCAGCCTACAGAATCATAGCGTAGGACAGAATCGAATCACCGTGGCTGGAAAGGACCTTCAGGATCACCAGGTCCAACCTTCCTCCTAATTTCCCTAACCACTAGACCATAGCCTCAAGTGCCACATCCCATTGTTTTTTGAACACCTCCAGGGATGGTGACTGCACCACCTCCCTGGGCACTCCATTCCAGTGCCTAACCACTCTCTCAGGGAAGAAATTCCTCCTAATATCTAGTTGAAATCTTCCCTGGCACAACTTGAGACCATTTCCTCTCATCTTGTCATCAGTAATTTGGGCGAAGAGATCAACCCCAGCCTCACTACAGCCTCCTTTTAGGTAGCTGTAGAGAGCAGTGAGGTCTCCTCTCAGTCTCCTATTGTCCTGACTAAACACCCCCAGTTGCCCCAGCCACTCCCCATAAGGGATGTTTTCCAGCCCTCTCTCCAGCCTCGTTGCCCTTCTCTGGACCTGCTCCAGCACCTCCATGTCCTTATCCCCTGGTGCCCAAAACTGGACTCAAGGTTCAGTCTCACCAGTGCCAAGTCCAGGGGCACCAGCACCTCCCTTCTCCTGCTGATCACACTCCTGATCCAGGCCAGGATGCCCTTGGCGTTCATGGTCCCCTGGGCACACTGCTGCCTCATGGGCAGTTGGCCATCCACCAGTGTTCCCAGGTTCTTCTGCAGTTTCCAGCCACTCTTACCAAGCCTGGAGTGTTACCTGGGGTTGTTGTGACCCAAGGACAGGACCCAGCACTTGGCCTTGTTAAACCTCACACAGTTGACCTCATCCCATGGCTCCAGCCTGTGCAGAGCCCTCTGCAGAGCCTTCTACCCTCCAGCAGATCCACACTCCCACTCGGTTTCGTGTCATCTGCAAATTTACTGAGGGTGCACTCGATCCCCTCATCCAGGTCACTGATCAAGAGATGAAACAAGGCTGGTCCCAGAAGCCAGCCCTGGGGGCCACTGCTTGTGCCCAGGCACCAGCAGGCTGGAACTCCCTTCAGCACCCTCTGTGGTGTTGGGCAGGTCTTAGCCAGGCCAGTGCCCAGCTGGCTCAGCCACCAGCTGCCAGAGTGCCCAGCAGAACCCTGTGGGACAGGGTGCCAGGTGCCCTCCTGAACTCCAGGCAGACAATGCCCTCTGCTTTTCCCCACCCACTGGGAGCATGCTGAGCCAGCCCGTGGCACCCGAGGGCTCCAGTCAGCCAGTCTGTGCTGTTCATTCACGGAGCCTGTGCCTGCTGGGAGGTGATGGGGTAAGCTGAGCTCCTCCTGGGCTGGAGCCCGTCCCACCCAGCCTCTCTCCATACCTGAACAGATGCCTCTGGGGTTTTCTGCCTCTCTGTCAGCTGATACACAGTGTGAACAGTTACTTAAGCAAATATGATTGTGTAAATATAGCCTTGGTGTTATTCAGTTTAAACACCTCTGAGTTTTTTCTTGTTAGTGCTTTCTAACATTGACATCAGGAATAAAAAAGGACACTCCTCAAAGGCTTCTCTTAGACTGAAATCAGATTTCCCCAACAATCCCATTTCCTTCAGTTATTTTGCTCCTTTCTGCTTCAGTGTGGGCTTTGGGCTGTGGTTGACTTTTGCAGCAGGGAGGGCACCTGGACAGAGCACACAGATTTCTGACCCTGTGGCCTCAAAAGGTTCTGTGTGCTGCCACTCAGCTTACATGGTTTGAACTCACTTCAGACAAGTTGCATTGTAAATTGCAGCTAATACACTGCTTTGCCCAGGGTAACATGAATCTGTTGTGTTGTTTCCCCAGCTGGACAGGACCTACACAGGCCTGCAGACACTTGGTGCAGAAACGGTGAGTCAGAGGGCCGGGGGGTGGGCGTTCCACTTTGGTTCCCTTAGGGATTTTTAGAAAGAAAAAGATAGATGGGACTGAGCACAGTCAGAACCATTTGATTTCACAGGTTTTGGAATGTAGATTTTCTGACAAACAAGATAATCTCTTGTTAAATGAAATGGTTATGACACCTTGTCACTATTCATGACAACAGTCATTTTTTTCCTCCCTTTCTAGTTCAGGGGAGATTGCTTCCAGCTCTTCTTTCACAAAGTACTTAACTTGTACTACAGTTTTAATTTTTATTTCTTTGTGGAGCTCCTGGTTCCAAATGTCTTGATTTGCATTCTTATGTGCTGCAGATCTCATACATAAAGAATACATAAGGTAAAGGGATCACCCAGCTGCCCTGCTGAAATTTTGCAGTGTATTAGGTACTTCTGAGTTTCTGCATCTGTCAAGGTTCAGTCTCCTCATGGAAAATGAACTCTCAGTATAAAATAAATGGATTAATAATTCAGTTTGCTGTATCTCTAAGGTTTTGTTTTATTATTTGCTCCTTGTACTGTAGCGAATGGAAAGTTTTATGGTGAAATTGGATTTTATCAGCTTCTCTGTCTGGGGTGAAAACGTTGATGTGAGATGTCTACTGTGATTAAAGAACACTTTTTGAAGAGTAGATAATAAGATGTGTTTCTCAAAACCTTACCAAAAAAGGCAGAATAGGCAAGCTGCAGTTTTGTGCCTGTTCCTAAGGGGGTGTGCAGGCCTTTCCCTGGTGGGGAGCTCAGAGCTGGGCTCTGTATTCCCTCCAGTGCTCACTGGTCAGATTTCCCCAGGGACTGAGAGATGTGCTCCTCTGCTGTGGGGGTTAGATGCTGCAAGACTTTTGTCTTAGCTCAGGTGCTGCTGGACCTCTGTGGTGTGTCCCTGAAATGAATGGAAACGTTACACAGAGGTGGTGGGAGGAGAGGGAGAGGTTTCTAGACATGAGAAGGAAAGGCATAGTTGTTTTCACTTTTTGTGTCTTCACCTAGCTGTGAAATGTTAACCTCATCCTTTCTCCTGTTTCTGGAAGGTTGTGGATGTGGAGCTACATAGGCATTCCCTTGGGGAGGAGTATCTCTTCTCCCAGTCTTCAGAGTCTGACCTTTCTGACGTTCCTACATCTATACCACTGCCACTGAGTATCCCAGCACCAGTCAAAGCTTCTTCCCCTATCAAACAGCTGCGGGACTCCAGCCCAGATGCTTCTGTGGACAAAGGTAAAGCAAATGGGTGTTGCTGAAGTTTGAGTTCCTGGAACTTCAGCTCCTCTGGATACCTCCTCCTAACTTGCTTTTGTGCCTTAAAGATTGCCAGTGGTACCTGCTCCTTGCTCACCCCAGATATCACTTCCTCAGTGTGCTCTGCAGAATGTACAATTCAGAAACTGTTATTGTTTGTTCAGTGCTTGGTTGGGGTTTTGGTTTTGAAACCTGGAGCTTGTTGAGTGGGCTCTGTTCTGCTAAACAGCAAATAGGGAGTTTTATCCAGTGGATGCAGTTGGAAGAAAGGTTGTTGAGTAGCTTTTGTAGATTTATTCTTGGTGGAGTCTTCTCAGAGGGTTCTTAGGTTTCTGGATGGTTTGGGGGCTGTGTATACACTTAAGGAATTGGTCTGGTGGTGTGTTTGGGTTTATGTGCTGGTGCCTAATGGGAGTTGACTGTGGGGGTGCAAAAATGGCTATTTAGCTGTGGTGTGAAGAACAGAGGGTGCAGAAGGCATGGTGTGTGTTTGGGGGATGGCATCTGCTTGTCACAGCCTCGTTCCCACCCCCCTGCCAGCTCAGGCAGTGCAGCACCCGTTGCACTGGGGCAGCAGCTGGTGCTCTGGTGTCCCTTCAGTTGCCTGAACCAAGCTAGTGCTGGCCCTTGGGCACACTGCTGGCATTTCTTGTTTGCAGGAAGCAGGAGAAACTGCCTCTGTTAGCACTGAGCTTTGTTCTGTGGAACAAGTGGTGTCGGGGCCTACCTGACAGACCTTGGTTGGCTGGGCTGAGAGCAGGGCTGCTTCTCATGGTTGCATGTTTTAGTGTGAGGAGCTTGCTGCAGACAGCAACCTCCTACTTCAGCACAGGGCTGCATGCACAGGGTCTGATGCCTTTCTTGCTTTCTCCTGACACTCCTGTGTCCAGGAGTGGCTGTAAGCTGCTGTCTTGCACGATGCACTTTGTGGTGGGTGCCGTGATGCCGCTGGCAGAGTCCTGGCTCAGGGAGAGGAATGTCCCCTGCTTCAACGTGGTGTTTTCCTGTGGTCAAAAAAGGAGAAAAGCAACCAAGTCTGAAATGCACAGGCTCTTTATTCACCCAGGAAGACAGGCAGCACCTCTGGGTGAGCAGTGCTAGTCAACAGGAAGAAAGTAAACCTGCTTCCTCCTCACACACTGACAGGCAGTGGCTTTTCTCATCAGCTGCAGGTTAATTGATCTCCTTCTGCATCACACCAGGTGGATTCCTTAACCCAGGTCAAAAGGCAGCAGGTAGTCTCCTCGTGCTCTTACTCCAAAAAATGCACTGCAAGATTATCTGTGAAGGAGGTCCAGCCTTAGTCCTGTGGATTCCTAGCTGAGGACACGTAGAACTACCAACAGCTTTTGCTCAGTGGAAGGGTCATTCCAAGAAAATATGTAGGAGGTGGCTGATGACCTTCCACAGCACAGTAGCCTTTTGTTCTCCTGTTCAGAGGCAAATCCAACAGGCTTGCCCAGGAGGGACCCCTACCCCACTGTCACCCCACCCAGTGCTGCCCACCAGCTCTTCCTTCCTCCCTTTGAGAGCGTGTTTGTCGTGCCTGAGTTTTGTTTGTGTAGAGAAGCACAGGAAGGAATCAGATGTCTCAGCCTAAGAACTATTTCTCTTCTTTTCCCTGTTTTGATCAGGATTCCCTGGGAATGCTGAAACGGACAGACATGCCACGTTTTATTCCCTGCCATCCTCCATAGAGCGGACTCCCACCAAGTTAGCCACACAGAAAGTTGCCTTTGGCTCTCATGGAAATTCAGCTTTTCAACCCATTGCAGCTAGCTGTAAAATAGTGCCTCAAGGTCAGAGTCCAAGCCCTGCAGAGTCACCAGGAAAATCCTTCCAGCCTATCACCATGAGTTGCAAGATTGTATCAGGTGAATGTTAGTTTACTTAACCCCAGTGCTTCACCCCAGAGAACAAGAGTGAACCAGTTAGACTTGGTTTGTGTCCTTCCCTTGTTTTCCTGCCAACCTTTGAACATCAGGCAGTAGGAAACTCTAGAATAAGGAGCTAAACACACTTCTTATGTTCAAGGACAAAAAATCCAAGTGTGAAACGTTTCACATCAGATCAAAATCAATGAGAGCTGTTCTCTCCCTGCCCTCGAATGCTTTTAGGTGTGAAAAAGTCTTTAACTGGACTGCTACCCACAGAAAGGTCCAGGCAAGGACACATCTTCCATGTGGGAAGAAGCCCCATTCTTCTCCCTCCCTCTTTCAAACAGCTAGGATAGATTAAGAAGAAATTATTTTTTTTCTGATAATTGGGCAGAGAATCAGGTTCAACCTTGCAGATTCAAATGGTCCCTCTTGCACTTGCAGTATCTCCAGATGGAGCAGCTTTGGTCTTCCTCTCCCAAAAGTCCACCTTCTGTTGGATTAAATTGTCAGCTGACTGCAGTGAGCAATGTGATACTCTTTTGATAGCTCCTGAACCAAACATGGTCAAGCTGCTGTTTACTCATTTCACTTATAGTCCCTTCCCTGCCTGGGCATGATGCCATCCACTGGAGGATGTTTTGCCTCAGAAAGTTTTAATGTGCAGCTCACCATCTCACATGTTGTGAAGCTGAAAATATGACCTATTAAATCCTGTCATTTGCTGGTGTTCAGGGCTGAGAGGATGAAGCACCAACTATCAGTATGTGTGATTTCTGATGATCTGCTCACAGATAATATTCCTCAAGTGTGTCTGGTTTGTTGGGTTTTTTAATTAAATTTTAATATCATTCCTTGACATCTTAAAACTGTACTCAGGCTGTTATGCATTTGAACCTATGCCAAGTGCTTTCTTCTTTCTTAATAAGCTCTTCTCTTGATCCTCTCTTCCCAAGGCTTCCCAGAAAGCAAGAATTACAGGGGCCATCCTGCCTTTCTTAAAATCTTTGGACTATTCTCTCTTGATATTTGCTATTTAACTATTTCCCTGCTAAATATTTTTCCCAGGTTCTGCTGCTAGCATTCTGAGAAGTGTCACCCTTTTCAGATTTCAAAAGCAGTTTGCAAGACATGGGGATTTAATTTGATCAGCATTTATGTTCCATTTTAATTGGCAGTCACTGCCAAGAGAGCAGATTAACAAGCAGTTGAAGCTTAGTGTGCTTGCTGCTGTCTCTTTTCTCTGACCACTTCCTTGCCTGTCCTTTTCTCTACGTTTCTTGTTTACTTCCTCATGCAGCTTTTTTCTTTGCTTTTTCTCTCTCTCCTGGTCCTTTTACCCAGAAGCTGCACAATTTACAATTTGCTTTCAAGGGCTTTTGCTGTAATGAGAGCAGTGAAGAGCCAAGAGCATCCCTGCCTGTCTGGCTGCTGTGTGGCACAGCCTTTTGACATGGAACTGCTCAGCTCCTGGCTCTGAATCCTGTACCCTGGGCTGCACAAGGAAAAGAGAGAGCCCCTCAAGGAGCTCAGCTTTCTAATCTTCATCTCCTTGGGTGGTCTGGTCATGGCAGTGGGAATGATTTAGGTAACATCCCTCAGGATTCAAGGATGGACCAAACAGCTTCTCAAGGTCCCTTTGAAGCCTGCTTGTCCTGGTGGGCAGAGAGTGTCCAGGGCAGGTGTGACCATAGTGCTTCACGTGCCTTTTCCTTTCCTTCTGGCTCCTCTTTCCAAGTCCTGTCTTCTCACTCAGGCTGGGAAATGCATCCTCACAAAATGTCCCTTCTCTAAGGCATTTCAAACAGTACCACAGTTGCTGGTTTTGTGTGTTCTAACAACGTTTACAAGACAGAAGCATTGGACTTTTTTCCTTAAGGTTCTCCAATATCGACCCCTAGTCCATCTCCGCTGCCTCGCACCCCGACCTCCACTCCGGTGCACATGAAGCAAGGCTCTGCTAGTGCAGCCATTAACAATCCCTATATTATTGTGGACAAGCCTGGACAGATGGTTGGAGCAACAGCCACGAGCACAGGTGTGTAGTGTGGGCACAGAAGGCAGTGGCTTAGTCTTACCCATCCAGGTTTATTCTCCCTTTAAAATGCGTGGTGTGGTAACAGTGTTTCAGCTGGTGAAGGTGGAAGAGTGCTTGGCAAAGGAAGGGGGAGGTGCTGGGGGGTGGCACAACTGGCCTGTGTAACGTGCTGGAGGGTTTCTCAGGCTTTAACACAACTTCCTTTAGGAAACAGCACGTAGTGGAAAGCCAGGCTGGGTTCACAGATGCCTCTTCAGAGAGAGCCTGTTCTTTGCAGACAGAAAGGGAAGGGGTAAAAGTAACATACATAGTGGTGCACAGAGGTTGAGACAGGAGTGGATGGGTGAGAAATGTGTTGTGGATGTGGGCAGAAGGCATGGAGAGCTTGCAGTGACTGGCAGCTCAGTCCTGGGTACCAGTGCACAGTGCTCTAGAAGTGTTGAAGGGCACAGACCCAGGTCACCAGAGCAGCCATGCTGGGTTGTGTTACTGCTCTCAGCTTCTAGCTGGTCCAATTCCAACTGGTTTGGATTCCTCTAACTGGATTCCCTTGGTGCCTCAGTGGTGACATGAGCCTGGGGCCAGGGGGAGGACTGAGCTGCACGTGGTGGGTATGGGTGTCCACTGGTAATCATTGTGTTGGGACTGGAGGAAAAGTCACTTAAAAGTCATTTATTTACTGTGATGTGTGGCCAAGAACTGCTGTCTGTTTAAAAACCCTTGTTTGTGTGTGTCTGTGCTGGCCAGTGTCTCAGAGGGGTGCTCAGAGCTATGTGATGAAGTGCAGCATCCAAGTAACACACAAACCATTTGCTGGGTGTGGTTGGAAAGTGCAAAAATTCTTCTCTTATGGTTCCTCCCTTTGTCTGAGGGAACACTGCTGTCATGTTTGTGTTAGCTTCATCACAGAGGGATTTGGCAGGGGAAGCATAGTCCTAGCTGAGTTAAACAATTTCAAGTATGTTGTGGGGCTTTCTTGCTAACACTGAAGCTGTTTGACCAATAGGATTTTTATTTTTTGGGGGGGGGGGGATTTTTCTGCCTCTTTTTCTTTTCTGTTTCTTTTTTACCTCCAGCCTGACTGTCTGCTCTGCATATGTGCTGTGTTATGGTTTGGGTAACTTTTGTGTCCTCCTAGTAGAGACTAATACGTGGAGAATAGGATCTGTAGATGCAGCAGGTGGTTTGGACCCTTCAAGGTGCAGTTTCCTGCCACTGTAGTGTGGTAGAAGTACAGACTGACCTGGAAGAAGCTCCTGCTGCCTCTCACTCCCCTGCCTTGCTGCTGCTTCCCCATACCCTGCACCAGCCAGGTCAGATCCCTGGCAGAACAGAAGATGAACTCCCTCCCTGAGTTGAGCTTTGCTGTCAGGTAGCCTCATCCCCAGACCTGTGTGGGGGAGCAGGAGGGGATGTGGAACTGGCTCTGGCAACAGCAGCCAGGCTGGATTGCAGGTAATGAGATACTACAGAGCCACTGAGATGTTCTTGATAAGACTGCAGACTGCATTTAAAGAGAGGGGTGAGATCTGCCCTGTGAAACACAGCCTTCCCAAACCCCAGTATTTTGAGAAATGGCTGCTCATTTACTTTTAAATTTAAGTGCAGTTTGTAGCACAACTGTATGAGAGACTATTACTGTGTTTTTATGAGTTTAATCCATGGCTTTGGTGTCTCTTGAACAAATAAAACTTAACACCACCAACCCAGCAGCAGCAACAAAACTGCTGCTGAGCAACAGTGTGTTGTGTGCAGGCTCTGAGGATGCAGGGTAAGTTTAGCACTGCACCCCATCCATCCTGGGGCCAGGAGAGTGCTGGGGCACATGATTCCACCTGTTAGTTTAGCAGGAGCAGCCTTCTGCAGACAGAGGACCCTATGGCTTCATTCCTTAATTCTGTTTCTTCCTTTACCCTCCTTGTTCTGTCCTTTCCCTTGTTGCTCCTCACTTTTTCTCCTTACTTTTCTGGCCTTCTTTATCCTTCCTACTTCAGCCTATTCCAAGCCCTCTGTGCCAGAGTCTGAGGCTAGGGTAGGTTCAGAGGGCGTGTGGGCAGCGGAGGACTTTGTCTGCAGTTCTGACTGGCAAGCTCATTTACAGGCCTAATTTCAGATATTTGCACTTGTAGCCAGTAACCTCAGGACCCAGGAAAGTGCCTGACCATTTGCTTGCAGCAGAGAGCTCTGGGAGGAGAGTGACTGTCTCTGGGCCGTGGGTTCTGCAGGTGGAAATTTGGTGGTGGGTTTGTTTTGTGCCCGTGCCAACTCCCACTGACATAGCTCTTGGAGAGTACAGAGTCAAAACAAACTGCTGTGTTTCATGAGGAGAGGTTTCATGTGTCCAGTGGCAGCTTTCCCCAGCCCTCACCCAACATCTGCTTTATCTCCTGACATGCAGGGAGCCCAACCAGCAAACTGAGCAGTGTTTGTCAGGCCTCTCACGGGACTGGATCTCCTGTCTCAAAGAGCCACGGGAGCAGTTTTGTCACCTCAGCTGTCAAGGTAATGTTCTCATTAGGTGCATACTTTCCATTTAAAATCCAGCTTCCTATTAAATAGGGCTTTCTAGCATTATAAAATCTGCACTTTGGGCAAGTTCTTTTGGTTGTCATTTCCTTTGAAGTTTAGTGTGTCTAATGGAGCCACGTGAGAACATGGTGGTTATAGGAGATGATGGTGTTGCTTTGTGCAGCTCTATTTACCTACACCTCCATTAAAGGCATTGCTGCTTTCCTTTCCTACAGTGAAATCCATGGAGGGCATAGCTCTCAAAATGCCTCACCTTTCAAAACAGCTCTTCTGTAGCTGACTTTGATCTTCTTCATTTCATTTGTGATGGTTTGTGATGAAACCAGAGGTGCCTTCCTCAAAACCTTCACTCAGTTCATGATTTTGTACAGTAGCTGCTCCTGGCAGCCTGCAAATGGCTCGTTCAGTGGCTTTACAACTGTGCCTGCATTTAGACAAATGTTTGTGTAAACAGTGGAGTAACCAAATGTGCAAACAAACAGTGATAAATACAGTCCCTGCTTCTGATCTGCAGAGCCCAAAAGGTATGGAATGAACTGTCTCACATAAAATCTCTCCCACATCTTGTGCTAGGGAGGGTATTTCTGGCAGGGAAGTGGTGTCAGCAAGGCTGTTGCTGCAGGCAGCTGGTGGGTGTGCTGCTGAGAGCAGGAGCACTCCCTGTCTCCAAGTCCCAGGAATATGAGTGCAGGATGGGGGGGAAGGCTTGCCAGCCAGCCTGCAGGGAGACAGCACTCTGCATCTGGAGCTGAGATGCTGCCTGTGTCTGTTAGGGGAGCAGTGCTGAAGGTTGCTGTCTGAAGCAGTTAGTATGGAGTAGAGTTTTAAGTGTCAGGTGTTCAGCTGGCTGTTCAGCTTCTGAGAGCCTGTCTGCTCAGATGGATTTCACTCAACTGTGCTGAAAACCATTCGTTAGTCTTTATTTTTCACTGATTTAGAACATTTCTTTCTGAAAGGTTTTCAGTGGATCAGAGTAGGTACATGTCTTCAGTCACGGCTGAGTTCTGTATTTCCAGGGCAAAGTTAAAAATGGTGATATTTATATATATAAAATACAGCTCTCTAAACAGAATTTTGTCTTCTGGTTGGTTGAAAAGCTGTAATTTTCCTTAAAAAGGATGAGGGAGTCTGGTAGTTCAGTGGGATGCTATGGATTGTTCTTAACCCACCACTTTTCATGTCTTCACTATGTGCTAGTTTTCTGTGTATATTTTTGTAATGACTTAAGGCTGTGTTTCTTCAGCTAGTTTAAAATGACTTGCATGCAGGCTGCTGTTGAGAGGACTGGTTATGCCTCTGACCTTGTCTTCACACCTCCCCCTGCAGGGAAGGGAACACTTTGCTACCAGTTGTGCAGCAGTGTGCTGAACCAGAGCAGGGAACCAGCCTGGCTGAAACAAGTCTGTTCTCAGCCACGTGTGTCAGTACAAGGAAGATGGCAGGAGTGTTAGGTTAGAGTCTGAGGGATTGTTCTCTGGTCGTGATCCAGCCCCAGGATGGGCCAGGAGATTGTGAAACCATGGCCTGGAGTTCATGTTGAGTGTAAAAGAGTACAACTCCTTTACTTATAACAGAATGAAAACAGACTTCCTCAAATGCCTTTGACTTCTATACCAGCCTCAGATCCAGAAATGCTAGGTGCATGATTTTGAAGATGTGGAAATGTTTTTTACTATATTTAGTTAATTAGTCTCACTGTTTCTGCCACATGGTGAGCTCTGTCTGGAGTTTTCCTTGCAGACTTAAATTGAACAGTATTTTTTCCCCCTACATAACCTGTTTCTTCTTAGGTTGTCTTTTCTCTATGAGCTTGTGTATAGAGTCATAGAATGGTTGACATTGGCAGGGACCTCTGGAAATCATCCAGTCCAACTGCTGATCAAAGCTGGGTCAAATAGAGCAGGTTGAGGAGTATGTCCAGTTGGGTTTTGAGTATGAGTATCTCCAAGGCTGGGGAGTCTACAGCCTCTGTGGGGAGCCTCTTCCAGTGTTTGATCACCATTAAATTTAAAAAAAAACAAAAAAATTTTTCTTTTAACTAAACATAATTTTGTGTGTTTCAGCTTTTCAATTTGTGCCCTTTGACTCTTGTTCTTCCACTGGATATTATTGAGCATTGTCTTGCTTGATCATCAGGTATATATGTGCATGGATAAGATCCCCCCTCAGCCTACTTGAATTTTACAGCTCTGAAAAGCTTTGTATAAGAGGAATATGAGTTGATTTCTTTAACCTGTGTATGCCATGGTAAAAGACAATTACTGCTGTTGGAGTTGTAACTTTCAAATAAACTACACACTGTAGGTTGCCATAGGATGTTCTGCTTCTCAAGTGTTGACTGACGTTGGAAATGTCTTGTTTGTGCAGGTAATTTGGCCTGCCCAGATGGTCCTTAATGAGCAGTCATTTGTTTTATTTTTTGGATTGGACATTTCACCAATTCTTGCACCATGTCTTCCTATCTGCAGCAGGAGGATTCTCTGTTTGCCACCATGCCACCCCTTTGTCCCATTGGGAGTCATTCCAAGGTGCAAAGCCCCAAATCGGTCACGGGAGGACTTGGAGCTTTTACAAAGGTATTCCTCTTGGCTTCTGTGGGACAAGGAGCCCAGTAGTGCCATTTCATGCTGACTTGTGCCACAAACCATGTAACTTCCAGTGCATCTGAAGCTGCTACTGGAACCAGTGTGTCTTGCCACCAAGGGCTCACTAGCACCTCTCAAAAAATATATCTTGCTTTCTTTACTTTCCCTGTGGCTCTACTGTACCTATGGTCTTTTTTTATCTTCCCTTTCATCCTTTATTGTTTTTCTTTGAACCACTGTCGTACTGAGGCTGATATTTTAAAAACTGTTTTTAGTGGGATGCAGTAAAAGTAAACTGCAGTAGATCTGTCAGGAGCTTCTTAAAAAATAATATAGCAATTTCTGAATCTCAGATGCTGCCACTTCCAAGTACATTCCCTTCAATGTTACCATCTGGCATTTGGAAGTTGTTTTTGGCAATATTAGGTGATCCAAGTAAAAAGTGGAAGAATGCTTCCTGCCAGTTACAGTACCTACAGCAATCTAATGGAAAAAAAAAAAAACAAACCAGCCTTTCTTGAGTGGCTTCTCATAGAGATTAGATTAAGTCCTGTCCCAGAGAAACATAAAACATATACCTAGGAAAATAATGTCAGCTATAATGGTTTACAATACCTGTAGCTATAATATCAGTTGTAGTTTTGGAGGACAGGAAAAAAAAAAAAAGATGTTTAGAATGTGTTCTAAAGGAAGGTGCTTAGAAATTTGAAATGTTAAAGTGTTGTGGCTTCATGCTGAGCTGCATGGCCTGCAGAAGTCAAGTCTGGCCCGGGCCATGGCTAGTGTGACTAGCAGTTGTACTGTTACTAGTGATATGTGTCATTTCTGTGAGCATCTCCCTCAGCTCTGCAGTGCTTTGTCAACACAGACACGTGTCTGTGGGGAGCGACCCTCATCTTGGAGCTGAGCTGGGGAGATCCCTGGTGGCAGGAGCCTGGTCTGGGTGCCCTGGCTGGAGCCTGCCCCTCCTGCAGACAGGCTGTCCGGGAGCCATCCGCAGGGCCCTGAGCCGTTTGCTTATCCTTATTTCTTGTGTCCACAAGGTGATAATAAAGCAGGAGCCCGGAGAGCTGCCCCAGCACGGCCCGCTGGCAGGGCCAGGGGCGGGGCCAGCCGCGCCGAC